CGGGTGATTTTCTATGAATTTTTATATATTTTAGCCCCTTTAGACAGTGACAGCTCAATTCGGAAAAAACTGGATACACTGTAGCAATTTTGATAGGATGAAGAAGAAGAAGAAGAAGAAGAAGAAGAAGAAGAAGAAGAAGAAGAAGAAGAAGAAGAAGAGTTTGGATTTGATATCCCGCCTTTCACTCCCTTTAAGGAGTCTCAAAGCGGCTAACATTCTCCTTTCCCTTCCTCCCCCACAACAAACACTCTGTGAGGTGAGTGGGGCTGAGAGACTTCAGAGAAGCGTGACTAGCCCAAGGTCTCCCAGCAGCTGCATGTGAAGGAGCGGAGACGCGAACCTGGTTCCCCAGATTACGAGACTACCGCTCTTAACCACTACACCACACTGGTTTACGAGGTGTCAGTCCATTGTACTCACAGCAGGGAGCTATAATGTGATTTTGAATCATGTGAAACCAGCAGGACCCCAACATTTTAAGAGGGCAAATTGGGATACCCCACACCATCTCACCACCCCATTGCTCACGCCCACCAACACCCACCCCTCCCTTCCCTGCCCACATACTCCCTCCCTCCTCCCTCACACCATTGTTGTCCTCCTCCTCTATGGCTGAAACCTCCTCCACTTCTGTGGCCTTCTCCCCACCCCCGGCCAACATGGCCTCCCAGAGGTGCTTTGGCATAGCTCTTTGACGATCCCCAAAGCAATCCCAGAAGGTGGTCTGGTGCTCATCCACAGGGTCAGACGCAGCCTTGCTGACTCATGCCAAGGTGCTAGTCTTCATGGGATATTCCAGGGTCCAAACAGAAGCAGGGATTGGCTTCTGTGTTCTACAATATCCAGCTTAAAATGTGTCAGTTGTCGGGTAAAAGGTAAATGGTAAAGGACCCCTGGACGGTTAAGTACAGTCAAAGGCGACTAAGGGGTTGCGGCACTCATCTCACTTTCAGGCCAAGGGAGCCGGCGTTTGTCCATAGACAGCTTTCTGGGTCATGTGGCCAGCAGGACTAAACCACTTCTGGTGCAGTGGGACACCATGACAGAAACCAGAGTGCACGGAAATGCCATATACCTTCCCACTGCAGCGGTACCTATTTATCTACCCATGCTGGTGTGCTTTCAAACTGCTAGATTGGCAGGAGCTGGGATGGAGCAACAGGAGCTCACCCCGTTGCAGGGATTTGAACTGCCGACCTTCCGATCAGCAAGTCCAAGAGGCTCAATGGTTTAGACCAGGCACATCCAACTCCCAAGGGACTGCAATCTACTCAAAGTATAAAAAGACTGCCTGTGATCTACCCATTGTCGTTGCCAGTAGCTAAGTTGTTATGATTTGGGGGAGGGGAGCCAAAGTGGTTGAGCTTCTTTTGGAAAGAATTCACCAGGTTGGTTTTAGGAGAAGGAGTGTGCTAAATCAATCGCTCAACAGTCAGTTCACCTCCTGCCTTCCCAAACTCTGCCACCCAGGCAAGGAAATCAGCCTCTCAAAGTGGGGGTGGGGCGCGTAACAATCGCTTAAGAGCAACAGGAAGATCACTTACAAAACTACAGCGATTGACCTGGGACACCCCCGCGATTGACCAGTAGATTGCAATCAACCTCTTGGACATCCCTGGTTGAGACCACAGAGCCATCCGCTCCCCTAGTTGTGGGGCATGCCTGACTAGCCCTCAGGGCTCTCCATAGACCATCTCCCCCCTCCAACCCACACCACTGTCGCTCCACACCTTCCTCAAGTCTGGCTGAAATGTTGGAGTGCAGCTGTCAGTCAGTGTGGAAAATACTGAGGTAGACGGATCAGTTTGCCTGGCTCTGTAAAAGTCAGCTTCCTGTTTCCCTGTGTATTGCAATCAGGAGGACAGAAAAGCAGCTGCCTTTGGGACTCCCTTGCAAACTTCCCAAGAGGCACCAGGCAGCCACTGACAAATGGTGCCCTTTGTAAGCCACCTCACGCTGCTCCTTTCAACTTCCATTTTTGAAAGTTTCAAGGGACTGTGGAGTCTGCTTCAGAGAACAGCTGTGGGGAGGAGAGGTGGCTTCCAACGGAGCGAGATGGAGAATGCAAGACCTTTTCTTAAAACAGACAGATGCAAGACAGACACCATTTTGATTTGCTTATGCAGTGCTTGCTATGGCTAGTATGAGCCAAAGGCAAGAGCGAAAGAGATAGGAGGGGGAGGGAAGTTGAGGCTTTTTTAGTTTATGGAAAAAAGAGAGAGAAGTGCTTTTGCCCTGGCTGCTTTTTCTACAGGAAGTGGTTATGCAGATGTTTCCTAAGGAGTTGATATGAAGAGCCTTGTGGTTAGCTAGAGTGGTTAAAATGACATGAAAAGAGTGGTGTTTATCTGCATGTGTAAAACTCTGTGGAGGCACAACACAGGGTGCAACCCTAAATAACCCTTTTGTTTCATTTGTCTTGGTTTGTTTGTTGTGCTCGAACCTGGCATGGGCTTTTGCCCACATCACACGGAAACCACTCTCCCCTCCTTGAGTGGTTTGTACCTCTTATCAGTCGATGGGCAAGATGGGAGCCTGCCTTGCCCCAGGAAGGCCATAATCAGGACTCGACTTTAAGCTAGGGTTACCAGACGTCCCCATTTCCCGGGGATTTGTGAATAAGTCCCGGGACAAATTCCATCCCCGGAATGCGCCCGGATTTCATCTAATGTCCCTGGGAAACGCAGCAGCGGCAGTCTCAGCAGCCCGGAGCAGTTGGCTCTGGCTGGCTTCAGGAGCTACTTGGAAGTCCCCATAGGATGGTGGTGCAGGGGCTCTAAGATGCAGCTTCCGGGCTGCCTCCACCTTCCCTGACCCCAGCAACTGAGCTGTGAAGGGAGGCTTCACACTGCCTAACAGAGCTTGCGTGTAAGCAGGAGGGGCAGGGATCTCTCAGTTAGGCAACGGGAAGCCTCCCTTCCCAGCTGAGGGATCCCTGTCCCTTCTTGCTTGCAAGCAGTGTGGTGTAGTGTGGTGTAGTGGTTAAGAGTGATAGACTCGTAATCTGGTGAACTGGGTTCGCTTCCCCACTCCTCCACACGCAGCTGCTGGGTGACATTGGGCCAGTCACACTTCTCTGAAGTCTCTCAGCCCCACTCACCTCACAGAGTGTTTGTTGTGGGGGAGGAAGGGAAAGGAGAATGTTAGCCGCTTTGAGGCTCCTTTGAGTAGTGATAAAGCGGGATATCAAATCCAAACTCTTCTTCTTCTTCAAGCAAGTAGGAATGGGATTGGGGCTGCTTCGATGGGAAGGGAGGCATCTCGCTGCCTGAGCTTCGCTGCCGCCGCTCTCGGCTCTCCTTCTCTGCCTTCCATGCCTGACCCACCGTGCACCGCTCCCCCCCCCCCACCGAAGATTCAACAACTCAGGGGCTGCCCAGGCTCATGGAGAAAGGAGATAGAAGCCTCAGAGGAAGAGGAAACATGGCGGTTGACGTCAAGGGGGAGGCCCCTCTGCCACCACCATCGCTGCAGGGGCAGGATGCGGCCCACCAGGCTCGTAAATCTGGCCCTCAGAGCTTGCTACCCACTCGGTCAGTTCCCGCAGAAACCGCGGATGCCTCACCGTGTGGGGACTGACTTCCATGACACTGGCGCGGCTTCGGATTGGCTGAAGGAAGCTCCTGCAGCCAATCCAAAGCTGCAGATACCTCTGGGTGACACCCCTTCCTTCCCGCTGAGGCAGCCACCAAGAGCTGAGCGGGAGGAAGCGGCGGCGGAAGGGAGGCTGCCTCTGCTGCCCAGGCCAGCGGCATTGGCTAAGCGCCCCACAGACCCCCAGCCGAGGCAGAGGACACCGACAAAGACAAGTCGGTGTCGGCAGCTGCAGCTGCGGTGAGCAAGATGGACGTGAGTGGCGCCGGGGCAGCACGCTGGGTGCTCTTGCCCCCTTTTGGGAGAGGGTGGATCCAGACCCCGACAAGGTCTGAGGGACAGTGGACAGGCTCCCGGCTCCCTCCTGAAAAGGTTTGCTGACCCCTGCTTTCCCCTTGTCAACATCCTCCTTAAATGGTGGTGCCCAGAAATGGACACAGTACTCCAGGTGAGGTCTGATCCACTTTGATAAAGGTGTCTGGCACAAAAATCTCTGAATGCATCTGCCTAAAATTTGGCAGGCTTAATCTTGAGAGGCTCATATTTCTGCAAATTTCTTCCACTTTTCTCTGAAGCATGAACAACAGTATAGCCATTTTTTTATTCCCCACTATATTGAATGAGGGGGTGAGAACTTTGGGTTGTATGCCTAGTAGTCATCTAATCTTAGCAGGGAGAGAGAGGGAGGAGGGCACAAAGGCAAGCTCCACAGTCATCTAATCTTAGCAGGGAGAGGGACGGAGGACAGCAGCCACACTGACGTGGGATCCTCCTGGCCAGATATGGTTACCAGATTCTTTTCAATGAATCCGGGGAAACTTTTTTTAAAAATTTTTTAAAGCTGAGTAGCAACAGGGAGTCAGTAGTGGGGATGGTGAGGCAAAAGACCCTGGGCCCAAGCACACATGCATATTGTATAAAGGTGCAACGCCCTTCTTTCGCAGCCTGTGAAACATAACTGTGCAGAGTTTCTGCCACCGCCATCACTGCAGCATCAATGTCCCAAACACTTAGTATTTATTTATTTATTTATTTATTTATTTATTTAAAGTGTCCCCAGATTCATTGGGGGGGGAAATCTGGCTCCTGATTGTTCCTTTGACAATGCCCCAATAAATGTTATTGTTGCTAGAAAAGCAAGAATGGAAATGTGTAATTTTAATTAGAGAAGTGGTGGGGAGAACTCCCAAAACTTCCCCCACTAGCTGTGTCTCTTTTTCATATCACCCTCCTTTCTTCTTCCTCTTTCCTGTGGGTTACAAGTGAGTTTGACGAAAAACACAAAACAGGAACTCCTTCTGTAAATTATCCAAGCTATTTTCAGAAAACAAAACTGAGGAATAATGTTCTCGTTGTTGTTTTATTAAATATTTTATTAAGGATTTTCTTGTTTTACAGAAGTAGGTGTAATGCCTCGTTTTTCCCCCCATGTAACATTTTTACAAATCCGTTTCATTTGTTGAGGCATTAGGGGGAGAAGGGGGGGGGAAAGGGAAAAAAGGGGGTGGAGGGAGGGAAGATGGATGGGGGTGGGGTCTGGTGGCGGTGTTTCTATTATGCTTAATGTATGTAGAGTTTGGTGTCAGCGTTGCTTGTGTTGTTCACTTGTGTTCCTTTGGTGGTGAGAGAGGTTGGGGTTGGCCTAGGGTGTGATTGTTTGCTTGTGATTGGCTGTGGTGATCTTTGTTTTCATGTGTGAGTGGGGTGGGTGGCTGTTTTGGATCAGGTAGGGATAATGCTGTTGAACATTCTCAGGAGGGGGGAGGGACAATACTCCAAACCTGGCCCCCACAGTGACCCAGAGCTAGCATTCCAGGGCATTGTGGAGAAGAATCAGCAGCTGCACAGAAAGGCTGAGAACATTTTGAGAATATTGTTCAAGGCGACTTTTTGGGTTAGGGGAGGGAAGGTGCAGTACAGAACATTATCAAAGCATCTTTTCTGAGAAATTTATTCTCAGCTCTGTATCTGAGCTGCTTATCAACAACCACAAGTGTCAGCTAACCGCATGCGTGACATCCTCTTATTTTTTAATTTGACTTTTGTACGGTAAGTTTAATTCTAAGCATTATCTTTCTACTGCACCAAGCAGTCATTGCAGAGGTCACCCCTGAACATTTCATAAACAAAAGAAAGAACATGGAAGAGAAAATAAGATTTTTTTTGAGGGGGGGGGGATAACAGAGAAAGAAAGAAAGACAGGAAAATAGGGGAAATGGAGGATTGAGATGACCAAGAGAAACAGAAGTGCCTTCAAAAGAATGGAAGAGCAAGCAGATGGCACCCCCTCCTAATTACTTGGGGAAAGAGATTATCTCCCTTCTTAATCTATAATTGTGTACTGAGACTCCCTTCCCCCACAAAGCATAATTCTGAAGCCAGATTGACCAGTTGTGAGGGATGATGGGGCTTGTAGTCCAGGAACATCCCCACTTCTCCTCTACAGGAAATAATGCAATAAAATGTAAATATGTCCTTTATTACATTTATAATGCAGCACTGCCCAACCTTCTGTTTCTCTTTACAATGGTACCTCGGGTTACAAACACTTCAGGTTACAAACTCCGCTAACCAGGAAGTAGTACCTCGGGTTGAGAACTTTACCTCAGGATGAGAACGCAAATCGCGCGGCGGAAGCAGGAGGCCCCATTAGCTAAAGTGGTACGTCAGATTAAGAACAGTTTCAGGTTAAGAGCAGACCTCCAAAATGAAATAAGTTCTTAACCCGAGGTACCACTGTATTTCTAAAACAAGCACACAGCAGTCTTGGCATTTGTTGAAAAGCTTCTTACGGATGCCAGCATGACATGGGTTGAATTATACCTTGGAGCATAAGAACGCAATGAATGTTGGGACAGCTTGCATCCTGCCTAGGCAAGTCCAAATGAGCTGGTTTTTCCTCGTAACCCCACCACCTTCAGCTCCTACAAACTCCTGGGGCTTGGTAACCAAGATTATTATTTTTACCCTTCTCTTCTTTATATTCAGGGCCTGTGAGAATTTGAACTCCTGCTGGACATCGGGGCAGATTTAGGGGGGCACAGAGCCTTGGGGTGCAGCAGAGGCCACCACAACTATTTTATAGAATGGAGGGCAAGGGACGCCAAATTTTGAGGCCCCAAGATATTCCCCACTGCTGCCATTCCATGCAGACAGTGCTCACAGTCATGAGGAGTTTCGGACAAGTCCATTTTTCCTTTTCCTCTCTTCTGCTGGGTGGCCACAGCCATTTCAGGAAGAAACCATGACACATGGTATGTGTTTTTCTTCCTGTTTACCACTGCAAGTCAGGGAATGGAAGGCAGGGGGCTTATCCTTTGTCCCACAGCCGCAATTTCCTCCCCTGCCTTTGCTGATTATGAGGTCTTGGGCTGAGTGCCCAGACTGTGAGACCGCCTTGACCATGACTTGTTTGAGAAACTTGGAGGCAGAGAGAGAGAGGTAGAAGACATTTTAAGGGCCTTGTGGAAACAAAACTTAAACAGGAAACTTTAAACGAAACTTTAATAATTCGTAAAGCACTTAGCACTGTTAAAATAAGGAACGGGGCGGGGGCGGGGGAGTTAAACGACTCCCTCGAAATCCCAAGTCCCCACCACAGCCTCTAAAAAGTAGTCCCTGAAACTGTAGCAATAAGTGGATACCAGGTATCATACTGTTTCCTGAAACTATAAAATATAGCAGCAAATAATCGCCAAAATTCAGCAGTTTGACCCATTTCCTTGATTCAAAGGGCTAATGACTTCTCTGGAAGAGGGGAATCCAGGGCTTCCCCTGCCTCCATAATCCCTGAGGCATAGAGTCAATACACCTCCCCCCTCCCCAGAGAGTGGGGGAAAGATAACAATGGACCAGACAGATATTCCTTTGAAATAAATAAAGGTCTTATGTACCAAGCAAACACATACATAGATATATAGGCCACATGTCTGAAGCTGCACAGGAGAGCAGCCATGGAGCCATTTTGACACCCAGGCTGACCAGGTGTTTTCTCTGCAAGGTCAAATGGAGGAGCCTCCCCATTGCCTTTTCCTTCACAAATCCTGTCTTAAGGGTATGTCTGTGTATGAATAGGGTGAGCCTGTGACCTGGCTCAGGAACTAAGTACTTATCATTACAAAAGACTGGCCAGGCTCCCCAGGGTATCAATCCAGTAAACATTAACAGGTAACTTGCCGGACAGGAGGTAAACAACCCACTCAGATTATGAGGTAAACAACCCACTCAGATTTCTGTTTTAGCCAGCCCTTTCTGTGATGTAGGTATGATGTATCTGGGGTGGTGGTCTTGAACTACACCCCTTCTGTGGTCTAGGTATGAGGTTTCTGGGGATGGTCTTTGACTCCAAGGTGGGCAATTTAAAATGTCTATATAAGGGCGGACACACCTTGGTTCTTGGTCCTCCTCCTGCGTGTGAAGGGGGCACCCTGTTGCAACAGTGCAATAAAGATCAGGCTTACAAGCTGCTTTGCTTCTCAATATTCTCTGGTTGGCCTCTGTTTTTCCCTACAGAGAGAATTTCTCCCTCCTGCAGTTTCTAGCTAGTGGTATCCAGAAGCATTATTCCCTCTGACTGTGGAGACAGAGCGTAGTCATCACAGATAGTAGCTAATTCCCCATAATCTGTGTGGTAGAACACTCGACTCCTTCCTGTCTCACAAACATGAAAGGTGCTTAAGTAAGGCTTTCTTCCGGCAACCTGGGCTTAAAAAGTGCTCAAAAGTGAGATACTCTTTGCCAGCTCTTTTGCCGATTCCCCACTATGGGGAAATATTCTACTGTACACGATTTTTGTTCCAGGGCTATAAGAAGCCCTTTGTGGGAGACGTGCAGGAAGGGTAAGAAGAGATGCTTCACTTGGGCTATCCTGCCCTAAGGTGGGCTTGGACCAGGTGACCTTCAAAGCAGGGGCGGAGGAAGGGGGTGCAGTGGGGGTGGTCCGCCCTGGGTGTAACCACTGAGGGAGGTGACAAAATGCCGAGCGGCACTGACTGCGGGGCCTGCAGCGCACCTGAGCCACGCGTCCGCCTGCCTCCTCCTCAGTTGTAGGGAAACTTAGTGGGAGGAGGCAGGCAGACTCCTCAGAGGCCCCACGGAGCATCCTGCCCTGGCGTGCCCTGCCCCGTGGACGACTGGCCCTGCCCCTGTGGGCAGCTGGCCCCACCCACTCCGCCGCTGCTTCAGAGTCCCTTCCAACTCATTCTGTGTGGATGGACTTAGGACAGTATAGAAATAAAATAAAAT